TTTCCTAGCTATCAGTCTGGGGTCCATGAGCAACCCCTTGTTCAGGACAGCTGTTTCTGTGGGTTTCTTCAGCATGGTCTTGGCCCCTTTGCTCATCATTCTTCTCTCTCTTCAATTGGATTCCAGAGTTCAGCTCAGTGTTTCGCTGTGGGGGTCTGCTTCTGCTTCCATCAGCTACTGGATGAAGGTTCTAGGATGACATATAAAGTAGTCATCAGTCTCATTATTGGAGAAGGGCTTTTAAGGTAGCTTCTTGACTATTGCTTAGATTGTTAGTTGGGGTCAACCTTGTAGATCTTTGGACATTTCCCTAGTGTCAGATTTCTCTTTAAACTAATAATGGCTCCCACTATTATGGTATCTCTTTTCTTGCTCTCCTCTATTCTTCCCCTGACTCGATCTTCCTGCTCTATTTTGTCCTCCTCTCCCCTCCTCTTCTCCCCTTCTCTTTCTTCTAACTCCCTCTTTTCTTGCTTATTCCCCAGATTGCATATTAATATCAAATATCACAATGTGAAATATCCTATTTTTTCAAAATCCCCATACTCTTTAAATACTTAAATACCTAGAACTCCAAAGTCTCTTATTCAAACGGCCATGTAATCATCTGAGTTTTCATAAATTAAGAAACAAATGATGTGACAGATTTTGATGATCCACATGGAAGGCCTCACCATTTCTATGGAGCAGAAGAGGGATGGGATGACGGCTGGTAGGGGACAAGGGAGGATGGGAGGGAGTGGGAACTGGAATTGATATATAAAATAAGGTTGTTTCTAAATTTAAATAAGGTAAGTAACAAATTCTACCAAACAGAAACAAACAACATATTGTCTTTCTCCAACACAGAAGAAACAGTCACAATAATAATCAAAACAACATCAAACACCTACTGTGTAAACCTACCATGTTCTGTGTCAACTGTGCTGGCCTGAGGGAACTAGCCCCAGAATATTCCATCTTAAGGATTCTAATCTCTTAGTAACTCAAACTTCTCAGCTTCAACTAACCAGCATTAATTTTACTAATGAAACAAAGGGTTCACTTCCACTGAAGTAGAAGTGCTGCTCTCTTTTAATCGAAGCTGATTCTTCAGGCCTAACTCACCAGAATGAGCAATTCTTAACCACAATAGCAAATTCTGAATTTACAATAGTATTTAATGGCCCTAATACAGTCTTTGGCTTCCTCTGAAATAACACAACCTAGCCTAAACTGTGTGCACTGCTCTCAATATTCTTATCCTCCAAGTTCTCACAAACTATATTTAAATTCTCTCCAAATATATAAAGAGAATAATTTTCATTAGACACTCAGTCAGCTACCTGTGGTTGGTGATTCCATATAAGCTAGTGGAAAGGCTAACACTGTCAGTTTCCTAAGCCACAATAATCTCTCTGAATTCTAAACATTTTCCTCATTAATAGAGTTTAGTAGCTCTCATCCCTAATAAAAGACACTCGGACATCAGACAGATATTACAGAAAGACACAACTAGTCAAATGTGGGGACAAGCTGACAGTAGAGTGTTTGCTATCAATCAGTGATTTCATTGCACAAACCCTACACATAAGTCTCAGGGCATATTACACAAAAGGAAGCAGAGAGATTGAAAGAGCCAAAGGACCAGAACACCTTCTGTGAGATAGTCTCTATTTATTAATTTTTTAAAAGGTGAATATAAAGTGGGGACAGCTGGTAGATTTTAGTGGAATTAGAGGATAGAATGTCGCATAAATATTATCAAGTTATATGAAATTTTCTAGGAAAAACCATATTAGAGTACTTTTAAGTAAGTATATATACAATGGTCTTATTACAAAGTTGGTTAAACAACTTCTACTAAAGTCAAAAATTCCTATGTCTTATGAGTAAACAATTGCATTCATGCTTTCTAGCACAACTGCATATAGAAATGATTATATTGCTCTTATTGAAAATAGAAAAATGGACAACAGATAACTTTCTGTTCATATAACACCTTAGTATACAATAATGGGGATCAGCAACAAATACATCTGAATGAATCGCACATTAGGAATTGTACCAAACTGAATAGAATAGGAGTGTATACTATGTAACAAAAGGTAGGTTGTTTCCATGGTATAATGACCAGTTAGTGTTCATTGTGATGAGGACTACCCTTGTGAAAGGGAGCATGCTTCGATCATTCATAGTGTCATGCTTGAGCCTGGGGTGACACCATTCACTTAGTGTTAAATCACTGTCTGGGAAGCAAACATTGAATGCTTTTTTTCTGTACATGGTTTACAACATTAAATATTGATACAAGAAGAATCTTCCACTTAGCTTTGTCAAATTTGAATATGGCTTTGTGATTATATTCTAATATTTTTAGATGATCTGAGTTATTGCTGTCCACAGACTACATTCATCAACAACAATGCGTGCCTTTCTTATGACATTAAGAACAATGAACAGACTCTAATTCACTGGCATTCATCTATCATAGTTTTTATGTATTACTTCTAATAATTCCTTATCCTTGTTTTAGATGTATCACTTGATGACTGGAATAAAATTGTATTTATGTAAAGCTAAATTCACAGTACTAGAAAGTTCTGCCCATTTACAATTGTTTGAGTATTGGTAGATACAAATTAAAAAAAAACTTAGTTCATTTTATTTTAAATTCTCATTCTGAGTTCTTTCCCTGAATCCAGGCTCTCTGCTTCCTTTGAATAAGGTTGTATACCATGGTTCTGACAAGAGCCTCACACTGAAGCTGTTGCTTGAGGGGACTTGTCATAGTTGACTTCTGGATTTTTGAGCATGTTTGGGGTTCTCAGTGATGTTTGGGAAAAACAACAACAATAAAATGACTCAGGAGCTCTGTGAAGGATGATAAGGAAGATATCTTTTGACAAACTTCTGAAAGCCTACTACTGGCTTTGTTCTGTTCCTTCTCCAGGTCATTGTTCCTTTAACTTCTTGCTTTTGAAAACAAAGTCAGCTCTGTCAGTCTCATCATCATAATTCAACATACACGGATGTAGACATAAGACCATGATCTAAGCTTATACTTTATTTCTCTTGTGTTTTATGATAGATTGAGTGCTTGGTAGTTGTTCCCTGTTTTGTTACCTGATTGTTTTAAAAAAGTTTTTCTCTATTCCACAATTTGAGAAAAAGAGTAAATGCATTACATAAGTGCCTAATCTGGCAAATGTAAAATAATAACATGGATGTGACTTTTTTCATGAGAGAACTGACAAAGAAGACATGTATAATAGATTATCAAGCACTATATAATTTGTTTCAAGTCATTGTTTTTTTATTTTAAAACTCTGTTATATTATTATTGTGATATATAAACAATAATATATAAAATTTTTATGCAGTTTTCACTTCATGACCTACAAGGACTTAAATAGTTCACAAATATTATCATCTGAACCTGAAAAGGCATTGCAATGGGTAGACAAGAGAATACTAGAAGCACATGTGGACTGTGTGGATCGAAAACTAGACTGTATTCTGGTTATTTTACCATCTAGAGAATACCCTTCAGGGATTTTGGTGTAGAGGGAAGATATCATATAACAATGGATATTTCTACCACATAAACAGAATAAAAGACTAAAAACGGGCTGTGCATTGGTGGTGCATGGCTTTAATCCCAGCCCATGTGAATCAGAGTCAGGAGGATCTCTGTGAGCTTGAGGCCAGCCTTGTCTACAGAGCAAGTGCCAGAATAGGCACCAAAGCTACACAGAGAAACTCTGTCTCAAAAAAAGAACCCTAAAAACATATATAGAAAATATTTCTGATTTGATTTTAAAAGGAAAATTAAGACTTCATCAACTAACAGGAAGGGACCCAGCAGAAATTATAGTACTTTTAAATAATGAGGAAATTTCTTCTTATAGAAAGATAATGAATATTGGCAAAGGGCTTGCAGTAACATTTAGGGAAAGATTAGCAACAATTATCCCAAAAGTGAGAAAATAAAATTCATACAAAAAATGGTTTGGATCCTTCCATGCATTTTCAGAAAAAAATACCAATCTCTGGAGTGCCTATATTCTACAATGATGCAAACAAATCAGGTAAGGCAACATATAAATCAGGAACTATTAGTTCAAAGCCCTTATAACTCTGCACAAAAGGCAGAATTGTATGCCATTCTCATGGTATTTATGGGTTTTTCAGAAACTTTCAATATAGTTACCAACTCTCAATATGCAGAGAGAGTCATCTTACACATTGTGTCTGCTGAATTTATTCCTGATGATTCAAAATTAACATTATTGCTTATTATTGCTTACTTAAAAGAAACAGTTAAGAATAGGACATACATACACAAGACAATGAAATTGATCATTTATGGGGCCAAGCATTGGCAGCACATGCCTTTAATCCCAGCACTCGGGAGGCAGAGAGGCATTAGGATCTCTGTGAGTTCGAGGCCAGCCTGGTCTACAGAGAGAGTGCCAGGATAAGGTCTCAAAGCTACACAGAGAAACTGGGTCTCAAAAAAAAAAGAAAAGAAAAAGAAAAAGGGAAATTGATCGTTTACTAATAAGAAGTGTGCTAGATTCCTCAGAATTTAATTAAAAATCAAAACACCATGAGAATAGGAAAGGTTTAAAAAAGGATTTTTTCCATCATTTGGCAACAAGTTAAAGGAAATGGTAAAAAAAAAAAAAAGGTCCTACTTGTTCCTTCTATAACTAATGAGAAATGAAACAAGGCCACAGAAAGACACTGGACAATAGGAAAAACTTCTGAACTAAATCAGGGGGTGTATTGACCTCAGTATGGAAACAAAGACATGTGTTATGTTGGGGTAGGTGTTTTGCCTTTGTTTCTACAGGAGAATAAAAGTTTTGGATACCATCAAAGTTCATCAAGATCTGGTTTGAACAGGGGAAACCTCTTGATGAGGAGAAATGATAGGTCATGCACTAAGGTGTTTCCCATGAGTTGTATGGAGACCTCACAAAGTTAGGGGCAGAGTTTTGTTCTTGTCTTAACAGGAAGACAGAAAGAAAATCTCTAAAAAGAAAAAAAGACACCGAATAGACTCTAAATGTGTAGGTGCCTAAAGAAGAGCGGATAGCAACCCAGAAAGAAGAATATGACTTACAAAGAAGAATATGACTTATGGTAAAATATTTATACTAAACTATTGTCTTCTTCTTCCAAGCACAATCGTATTTCCAATTCACAGAAAAATCAAACCTGGCTTTGGAGTTAGACTTGGCCCTCCTTCTCCAAATTCATACATGTTGCTAAAATAAAATTCAGAGTTTCTGTATCACATCAAAGTCCATTGGTGTAAGACAGAAGAAAACAAAATCTAGGACTATTGTTGTCATAACTGCCTTCTTTAAAACCCTAAGTTTCCTCATACTTAATTTTATACTTATTGCTACTTTTCCCTGTATGCTTACCTATTAAAGTTAAACTTTCTATGCTTATATTAATGTTTAAGTCCTCCATAGTGAACAAAAAAATTCCTAACAATAATTTTTGAGATATCCAGAAAGAATATGGGGACCTACTTCATCGATCCCACTTGTTTCAACCTGATGTCTCTGAGTTAGCAAACACCACCCTAAAATTGGTTTGTGACTATACTGCTCTAGACAACTGCAGAGTAGGTAGCTGAAATGGCGCACCTTCCTATAACACCCTGGCAAGAGCTTCAGATAAGAACTTTTTAGTCAAGCATCTCTTGCCACAGAGACTAGCTACAAATGTTGCAGGTAGTCCTCTGGAGATTTTTGTTGCTCTAATTTTTTCTTTCCTACAGGATCCCATGGGGTTATCATCATCCCATTTCACCAGGAAGTAATCCTAAGAAAACAATGCCCCTTTTCCCTTCAGTTGGCCAAATTAAGAGAATTTTGGTTTCTTTTCTTTTCGTCTTTTCTTTTCTTTTCTTTTCTTTTCTTTTCTTTTCTTTTCTTTTCTTTTCTTTTCTTTTCTTTTCTTTTCTTTTCTTTTCTTTTCTTTTCTTTTCTTTTACTAAACAAGGGATAATTTACCTGCTTAGGGTTGTTTATGGTTGGGTATGGGAAGGTGATGCTCAGACTATAGTATCTCTTTTAGTTAAGCTTAAGGGCATGGATGGGAAACATATGATTAAGATGGGATATCCAGATTAACATATTTTCTAGAGGAATAACTTTAGCAACTGTTAGCTATATGTAACTTAAATTGTTAAATTCTTGTATGCTGACCATCTAGGGTCTTCTTTCTGTTTATGCTCTTTTTCACACAAATATAATAAAACTACCTTAATGCATATACATTTTGCATATTGATACAACATAGGATATTTTATCATATTGCACTTTACAGTTCCATCTCTAGTCAAGACATTTCAGTTCTATCTGTTATATATATAAGTCATTGTCCTTGCTAAATTATTTTGGGAAGATTTAGACTTTGTACGATAATGTTTCTGAGAATTACATACTATTACCACCCATGTTTCTTATCTATAAGATTAATTAGACAGAGATATCTGATCTTCAAATCTTTCATAGAACTGCAGAATGTGGCATTTAAATGTTTTAATATTAGTTCTCCATTGTCATGAGACACAATTGTTCCTGACAGCACCAAGCTTTCCCAAGAAAAAGTTGGGCACTGGTGACACTCCTTCTGGAGTTTATTTGCTCCTTGGTTAATGGCCTCTTGGGCAAAGAACTGCCCTCACCTCGACCACTGACTTTGGACATGCTGTCCTACTGTGTCTGCAGCAGACAAACAGAAGACTGCTGAACCTTTTCAAGTCAAGGTAAGACAGCCTTTCTACATCCCTGTTTCTTTGTTCATCAGTCAGATACTCTAGAGTTTAGCCAAAGCTGGTTGCCCTCTGCTGTTGTGAGACTTTGGGTGACTGTCCAGGTAGTCTGCTGTTTTTATCTTTGCTGCACCTTTTGGAAGCTGCTTTCTTTCATTTCCTGCCTACCCTAGTATTGCTATCCTCCTTCTCAGGGCTTTGGAGAGGTTGAAGATTAGACTGTCCCAGTTATTGTAGTCTATTCCTAGATAGAAATGTTAGGTACAAGACTTAAACTTTCCAGCGTAGGACATTCTATAGTAATTTCTGCCTAATCTGACATATGTAAAATTAAAACAAGGTTGTGACATTTTTCATGAGAGAAAGGACAAAGAAGACATGTATAATAGATTATCAAGCACTATATCATTTGTTTCAAGTTATTGTTTTTTGCATTTAAAATTCATATTAATTATTGTGATATATAAATATATAAAATTTTCATGCAGTTTTCAATGTTTTTCTAAAGTATTTATTAATTTACAAATAATGACTTTCTTTAAACTGAAGTACACAATTTAAAATTCATTTTTAATGGTTATTATATAACTACTATGTCCTTCACTCGCCATTAGTGCATGACTCCTTTTGTTTTGTAGATTGAGCACCGACTCAGGTAATACATTTCACAACCTTGGGTCTTTAAAATGTCTCATTTGCAAGCCAGGCATTGGTGGCACACACCTTCAATCCCAGCACTCCGGAGGCAGAGGCAGAGGCAGAGGCAGGCAGATCTCTGTGGGTTCCAGGCCAGCCTGGTCTCCAGAGCGAGTGCCAGGATAGGCTCCAAAGCTACACATAGAAACCCTGTCTCGAAAAAACAAAACAAAACAAAAAGTCTCATTTGCAATGCACAAACTTGTGGAAAATTTGGGCCTCTACCTTCTGAATGAAACTCATTAATGCTCCATGTACTTGAACTTGAAGATCAGCAAATGATCTCAGGACAGAAAGCTGATGATGTCTACATAGATTTTCACTAAACTGATTCTTCATTTCTATTTTACTTGAAGAAAAATGCTTTTGTCTATGCAACTGTGTCCTTGTAAGAATTACCATGGGTACATTTTTGTGACTGTCACAATGTAGATAGGTGCCCAGCAGTGGTCACCTGTACCTATGTCTATCTCAAGAAACTTCATCCTGTGTTCTTGACACAAATTCTAACTTTCTCATATCAAATATTTAAAATATTATAAAGTCATAGAGTGATTTAAAGAAAAAACAGAAAGTCACATGATGCTCAGGCATGTAGCAACAGCAGAAGCAATCCTTAAAATTGGCCATATCATATTCAAAATACATGGGCATAAGCAAGTATTTTAGAGCTAACTTTCTATTAAACAGCAACACCTTAAATGTACACTTGATGGTTTTCCTTTCAGGGAGATTGTAGCTGTTGGAGATAATTTACTTAAGAATATTGAACAGAGTCTACTATCAAAATATTGTTTTCAAAAATGAGAAGAACATTTGTTGCAGTTTCTTCCCTTTGTTGATTTTCTGATTGCACAGGTTTCCATATCCTTGACACATTTCCTGTTTATGTCATTTACTTCTACCTGCTAAAAACACAATACACTGAGTCATGAGTTATTTCAAAGCACTGAGTTCATCCAGTACACTCACACGAAATATTGAAATAAATATGTGAATGTAAAAATTCAACTTGTAAAATAAGTTTTTATTTACATTCTACTTTTAGTGATTGCTGCTTAAAAATTGTTCTTATCAAAAATGTGTTGTCTTTATCTCATGGTGTGTGTGTGTGTGTGTGTGTGTGTGTGTGTGTGTGTGTGTGTGTGTGTGTGTGTGTGTGTGTTCATGTGTGTGTGTTATGATTATGTATGTACACATACCTGTACAGGTTCACTAATGGAGGCCAAAATTCCCGGTCAGGTGTTTTGTCTATTGTTCTTTATATATATATATTTTTTTGGTGACAGGGTATTTTACTAAACCTTTAAATCACTAATTTGTTTATACTGTCTGCCAATTAAGCCCTTTAGTTTTCTACTGTCTCTGCGCCGCTGAAGTGGCATTACTGCCATACATCATCACACAGGGCTTTTCAAATGGTGGTTGGAGATAAAACTCATCTTATATTACAGGCACTTTTCTACCTGAGCTATCTCCCAAGCACGAAGCCCCTTAAACACCGCATGCCATTGTGTACAGATGTTACAGCTATGTTATACAACTTGTACTATATTCTACAATACCAAAATTCAACAGGATCCCTTTGATGATATACAATACACTCTCAAATAGATAAAATAACCACAAAATAAAAATAGTATCTGGGATTAAGAGTGTTGCACTTTAATATATGTTAAGCATGGTATAGTTTTTTTAATAATAAAAAAAAAACCACTCCAACCAAACACTACTACTAATAATATTGCTACTAAAACCTGTCAAGACAATGGGGTAGGGCTTCAGTGGGAGACAGTTGTGTTTGTCTTGCAAGCATACAGACCTGAATCTGAAACTCAGAACTCATATGAGTTGTAGTATGTCAAACTGCAATTCTAGTGCCCTGAACACAAGATAGGAGGTAGAGAGAATAGAGTCACTAGGGCTTATGGGTCACATTTCCTGTGAACAACAAAATTGCCCTGTAAAAACAAGTGCTCCTGCTAGCACACAAGTACCTGCATTCAACACGAACACACACACACACACACACACACACACACACACACACACACCATTTACACAGAGAAAGAAAGATTGTTTTTAAAGAGCTATCAATAACAGTAGTAGCTAGGCCACTTATTAATAAACTATCCCTTCAAAAAGACTCTTGAAATGGATTTCTTACTGTATCATTAATATTTTTATGAAACACATGACAATACTGAATAAAATTACTGCCTTTGAGTCATATGTTTTAAGTTTAATATGATATCCATTAGACTAAACACCACAAATACACAATCCTGAAGTTTCACCTCTATGTACTTTGAAATGTTAATTATGGGCTTTCCTTAAAATTTAGACTGCAGTTTGGGAAACTTTGAGTTAAAGAGTAGCAATTTTTCTTCTTTAACAAGAGAGGTGACCTCAGCCTTCAGTAAGTGCTTGGAGGAAACATTTAGCACAGCAAAATTGCAAGAGTGTCCCAGGAGAAAATGAACTGCCATTGATACCAATGCCCTTTATAAAACAGGAACTTCAAAACACATTCTTACCTTACTGCAAGAATGGAGATAGAACTGATTAACTCCAAACTAATCAAAGACTTGGCCAAAGCACTAAGTGCAATAATCTCAAAGCCTTTCTAAACAAAAGTAATCGGGAAGCTGCACTACACTAATGACTTTTATCATAAGAGCCTGAAATTTCTGTACACTTATTTAAAGGTGTTATTTCAAGATATAGGCTGCCCTTAGCTTCTATTGTACTATGAACTTGGCGTATATAATGGTAATGATATAAAGTTGGAAGACCTTTATTTCATCAAAAGATATCCTTTGTAAAACCTAAGAGGCTGCTAAATGTTGCCAATAAAACAGTAAAAAATGGACGGACACACACACACACACACACACACACACACACACACACACACACACACAAATGCACCTGCCCAAATCAAAGTAGAAAAAACAAGACCAAAGTTTTATATGTATGTATGTATAATATTCTTATTAATTTATACATATATTTGCACACTATACAATATATAAAATTCTCTTATATTCTCAATTTAAAGCATATTATCTGCAGATTTCAGTACTAAAATTCAGCACACATTTTCAATATCATTTTACATGGTTATAACACAGTCAATTGAGGGTAAGTAAATATGATTCATATGAGAAGCTCCCAGAAAATAAGTGAATTACAACTTATGCTATTCTTGAGAAGAAATGTTTTGTGCTTGGTTTAAACTGATGAATTTGAGTGAGTTGAGGCTATTGCTACTCTGTAGACTACATAAAAATAAAGACAATATTAAAGACATTTTTTAAATATTAAATTTGTTTATGATATATGTCTATAGTACATTTCAATTATTCTCACTCAACTTTTAAAATATGTTTTTATTTGACAATTTTTACAATTTAATTATGAATTTTAGTCATTTTGTGCCTTATCCTTTCCTCCCACAAGAACTCTTATTTTCAGCAAATTCCTTGCCAATTGTAATATTTTACTTTTATGTCTGTTGCACTGAGATTAATGAGAATTTATTAAGTGGTCATGGATGAATGGTTATTCACAGGTGGAAAAGCAACTGTTCATGGCTGCATCACTGAGAAAATGGCATTCCCCCTCCCAAAACAACCACTGGTCAAAACTCTCAATACAGGATAGAGCCATATGGCCTCTGCCTCAAAATATGGTTGGTTTCCTGACCCTAACAACCATACCACTATTGCACTAAAAGACACATCTAGACTGACAAGTCATTATTGTAGCTTCGGTGAAGGGCTATAGCTCATTAATAGTTGTTGGGGGTAAGGCTATCACTTTCTATAGTGGATGTATCCACTGATAAATTACTCTTTCTTTAGTAAACAACTTCACACCCATATTAATGTAAGTCAAAAATAATGGAGGGTGAAATCATGAAACTTTATTATATGCTGCATGAAATAAAATAAGAAAGAGAAATTATCCATTGACAGGGCTGAAGAAAATCCAATATCTGCAGTTTCTTACAAAATTATTGTTATTGGTTAAAATAATTAAAACCACTTTAAAGAAAAAACCAAAACCTCATAGTCAGTAGCAAACTTTAAGTTCCCCCATATAAAACACATTTGAGATACATACTACTCACTAGAGAAAAATGTTATTTATGATTTTCAAATCACTTCAATAATTCAATAAATTAAATGTAGCTAGGCCTTTGTTTCTGTTAAGAAATTTTTAGGACATACTGGGGGATTGGTTGGCAGGGGATAGTGGAGAACATGGGAGGAAGGGATGGCAAGGAAATGGGGGATGGATATGTAAATATGAGTAGTAATTAAAGAATTTAAATAAAAAAGTTCTATGTGCAACATGAATTAACCCAACAAACATTATCCTAAGTAAAGTGACCCAATGTTAAAGACCACATATTATACCATTCTATTTATACAAAATGTACACAAGGAGCATATTCACCTGTAGAAACATAAAGTAGCCAGGCTTTGGTGGCACATGGCTTTCACTTGGGAGGCAGAGGCAGGTGGATCTCTGTGAGTGTGAGGCCAGCCTGGTCTACAGAGAGAGTTCCAGGACAGGCTCCAAAGAGAAATCCTGTCTTGAAAAAAAAAGAAAGAAAGAAAGAAAAGAGAAAAAGAAAGAAAGGAAGGAACAGAAAGTAGATAGTGAGTCTAGGCATGAGATACTTGGGAAAGTTTGGTGTGTGAGGATTTAAGAGTAAAGAATTTCTATTTGTGAGGTAACAAAATGTTTAATATCTAATTGCAATGGTCACATGACTCTTAATCTAATACTCCCTTGTCATGGTCTCATTTTTTTATGAATTCTCTTAAGCTGTATCTAGCTGAATTCTAAAATTTTGACATACAAAGCTTCAGAATATTCCTAACATTTAAACCCTTCACGTTGTTTGAATTTCATACTTTTCTTAGCACATAATAAAATCATACAATAACAAAATCCTACAACTTCCTGATTCAGTCAGTGAGTGGAATGTGCGTCATCCCCTTACTCAGAACATCTGTTTTCAACACTACCTACATTATTTAATTTTAATCACCTCGGTTCTTACATCACCTTTCCTACTAATATTTCAAGCAGTTCTTATTTTATTCAATGATGGTCCCAAAGTACAAAAGAGACTGGGACATAAAGTAGAGAAGGTCAGATTAATTGTGGTGCTCTGTGGCAACACTGCAAAAGAGCCAGTTAGCAGAGAGGAAAACAGAGAGCACTCCTCTGGAGTGTGAACAATGCATATCCTTTAAGTATCTCTCCTGAGTCTAGAAATGGGAATGACTCCCTAACAAGAAAATGATACTCCTGAATGGTGAGTAATATGGAACTGCACATTTAAATGGATTAGTTATCCTATATGAACTTCATCTCAATAAGAGTGTCAGTGAAAATTAAAAATTTAAATATTTAGGACCTGTACATTGTATATAGAAAATATCTTTTTGAAGGTGAAATGAGAATAAAGAAAAATTATCTTCCTCATCCTAGACTAAATATTAGCTGCCTACTTTAGGAATAAAATTTATATATAATAGTAAGAAAATGAAGTTTCAATGTCATAAACAAAATTCTACAGAAGAATTTGATGCTTGGCAACATTTCATATGATATTGATTGGAACATGAAATGAAATAATGAAAATTTGGCAAGTTACATTTGGGCTATCTACCACATGTAACTAGCACAGTCAATTTAATGTTGGTCTACTAATCTGTTGTGCAAAAGTATTAAACAAGTGAACATTAAGATATCTGTTTAGGCTTTTGTTAAATTGAAGTACAGTGTCTTTTTCATGTCATTTCAAAATATAAGAAAATGGCTTTCCATGATAAAGTTTACTCTGGAATCTTGTTGCATGTTTGCATGTAAAAACATTAATTTTTTAACAAATTCTTGATGTGTGAATACAGGCACTGCACCACTGTAAGCACACAGTCAAACACAGAAAATTTACTTTTATCACACATTCTCAGAAAGCTACATTTCAT